TAGAGCCCTTAATAGAAATGTTGAAAGAGTTATGGGAGGATGGGGTCAATACGTATGACACACACTCAAACGAAACATTTCGTTTACATGCTGCATTGTTATGGACAATAAATGATTTCCCTGCATATGGCATGTTATCGGGCTGGAGTACAAAGGGGAGATTAGGCTTGTCCTGTATGTAATAGTGAGACATGCTACAGAGGTTTGGAATTTAGTCATAAAGAGTGTTACATGGGGCATCGAAGATGGCTGCCAACTGACTATAGGTAGAGAAAAAGTCGGAAATTTGATGGGAAGCATGAAGTTAGAGGCAAACCAAGAGTGTTATCTGGAGATGATCTTTTTGTAGCAAATTGAGAAGGCTTTTTTAATCTGATGTGGTAGTCAATGATGGTGGGAAAAGGAAAAGGGGATGTTTTTATGATAATGTGCATAAATGGAAAATCAAAGCTTCATTTTGGAGTTTGCCATATTGAAAAACTATAGAGTTGAGGCATAATTTAGATGTTATGCATGTTGAAAAAACATTAGTGAGAGTTTGATAGCTACGCTACTAAATATCGAGGGAAAGACCAAAGATACAACCAATGCTAGACGTGATTTGGAAGACATGCGTATTACTAAAGAGCTACATTTGGTTAGAGAAGGTGATAAGTATAAAATGCCTCCCGCTTTATGCACCTTAAAAACCGTACAGTGAAGGCCATTTTGTGACTGGTCGAGGTCGATCAAGTTCCCAGTGCTTATGCATCTAATATATCCCGGCGTGTGACTACTGATGTTAGGTCAGTCATTGGCATGAAAAGCCATGATCACCATGTCTTCATTCAACGCCTTATGCCTGTTGTCGCACAAGGGTTCCTGAGCAAAGAAGTACATAATATATTGTCTCAACTTAGTGAATTCTTTCGTGTGTTGTGTTCAAGAACGATAACCACATCCACTGTCAGAAAACTCAGTGATAACATTCCAGTTATACTTTGCAACCTGGAAATGTTGTATCCACCAGCTTTCTTCATCGTGATGACGCATCTCCCTATTCACCTTCCCCGCGAAATTGAGCTCGGGGTAGTGGTGCAGTATCGCTGGATGTATCCAATGGAGAGGTACACACTGAGTCGCACCCATTAATTTTGTTTTTCTCTGACTTTTTATATAATGTAGCTAACTTTGGTATTCTGACGTTTTCTTGGTTATTTTAACTAGGTTTTTAGGAACTCTTAAAACTTATGTTTCTAATAAGGCCCGTGCTGAGGGATCCATTGCCGAAAGGTATGTAGCGAAAGAATGTTCAGATTTATGTTCTAGATATCTTAAAGGTGTAACCGAGCAAGTAGGCTAGACAGAAATGATGATGGGTTAGAAGATTTAAATTACAAGGGGTTTGATGTTTTTTGCCACCAAGGTAGATCTATACGGGCTGCAAACTATGAACCTATAGGGCAGGCTGGGTTCCATAAGATCCAATGGATTGGTATGTCTTCACCAATTGTGATGAAATTGAAGCACAATTGAAGTAAGTTCTTTTTCCTTTGTGTACTCTGAACCCCATTTAGATTTTTCCATTTGTGCTTAACATTTGGGATTACAATATGCATACGGAAGAGAGATTGCTGAATTATCCAAACAATACCCCCAACAACCTTTGCCGAAAACTTTCCATCATGGTTTAAAACCATTGTAAGCCCAATTTTTGCCCCTTTTTTCTCTTTTCTTACTCACATCATCATAATCTAATCATTGCAGCTAGCTACCCATCTTGGTTTACAATTTTTGGAAGCCCACTTTTTCCATTTTTTCTCTTTTCTTACTCACAGCAACAGAATGTTTTAGCTCCTTTGATTACGTTTTAGGTCTCTGAATTTTTTTTTGTCTGGCACGCTTAAAGAGACTGACCATTTTTATGTCCTAGGATTAGGGGCTGATGAACGTATTACTAGATATCCTTGACTCATCATTAACGGGATTCGCTACCAAATAAATATGACTAGTCATGGTCATCGAAATCAGAATAGTGATGTCTTTGTTCGGGCTGACTACAATGGAGAGACTATAGATTATTACGGGTTTCTGGTAGACATAATTAAGCTGCAATATTGTGGAGGGTATCGGGTCATTTGTATTCAAGTGTGAGTGGTTTAATGTGGGGGATAAGAAGAATGGAATAAGGATGGATGGACACTTGACGAGCATAAACATGGATAGAAAATGGGGTACAGAGGACCCATATGTATTGGCCAGTTAGGCTAACCAAGTGTTTTACAATGCAGATATTAAGAATGGTGGTGCATGGCATATCGTCCACAAGGTATGTCCAAGAAGTTTGTACGATGTTTCCGAGAAGGAGGAAGCGGGACATGGGGATGCATTGTATCAAAATAAGCCATACCAACAGGATGTGGACATTTTTATTTTCATGTCAATGAAAGCCACTTAGCGTATCTGAGTTGTGATGACGAGACGCCAACAATCGTTACTGTGCCTGTCATATGAGAAATTGCAAGACAATCTGCATCAGTGGAAGAAAGCGATGAGGAGATTAGATGACCATCATTTCACTAGGAATGAAATTGAACAACAAGATGGGAGTGATCCATCCTTCAACAACGAGGAATAAGCCTAACAATGGGATATAGAAATAATAATTTTTACACATTAGCAGAGTATTGATTGCGGGCTTTTGATGTTTGCAGATTTTTTGGGATATTATATGTGTACAAATATTTGTTTTTTTTTTGGGGGGGGGGGGGAGGGGGGCCTTAGTTTCAATTTAACAGATTTTTGGGTAGTGCTTTATATGGCTTTTAACTTGCTGGTTGATGCTGTAAATGGAGGCTGGTTACTTCTATCTTAATTGTTTGATATTGGCGTTTGTGTTTTTCTCCAACTCTGGTACTAATATGAACCCAATTTGTGTCTTCGAATTGTTGTTTGATAATGGGGTTTCTGCTGCAGTTGGATGTTAGTGTTTTTGTATGAGGAAGGCTGGGTTAGATGATTAGTAATTGATAAATGGCATCATAAACCCAGTCCAAATCCATTTACTTTAGATTAATGTATCTGTGGTTCTGAGCCCACATAGCAAAGCCCAAGGTAGAACTAAGTCCCATCATGGGCCCGTATTGAAATAGGTAAGGGACAAGAAGGAGTTCCATCCTTCGTATATGCATTTGTAGAATCCCCGTTACTTCTATTCCCCAATTCCATCTTCTTTGAACCCTTCGCTGCCGTTATCTCTCTTATGGAGATTTATCTCTGATTCTTCCCATTCATTCCAACCGTTGACGAAACCACAGTCTGATCTTCGCTATTGTTTGGGTCATCGTTTAACAGGTATACGCTGCTTCCGAATCTCCTTTCATGGTCTCCCAAATCCGTGTTTCCATCTTTCAATTTGGATTAAATTCCAGTTTATGTCTCTGCTCTGCTCTGCTGTGTTAATGTTTAAACCCTCGAATCACATTGAATGAGGTAACTCAGCCCATAGAAAATGTGCATTCAAGAGAACCAATTGGCAACGGGGATTCTGAGGCAGAAGCATCCAATCCTGACTACGGAGAAGGTGCTACTCCAACTGAATTGGAAGAACCCCTTGTGACTAAGAAGAGGGGGTTTTCCAAAAGGTATGAGATAAGGAAAAGAACCGGGACTGGAGGCAAGATAGATGGAATTTACATAGTGGAGAATGACCAGTCATTCGTAGGCCAAATGAGAGCTTGTTGAAGACAGAGTTGGGCGTCGTGACACGCCTGATGGCCCTGATAAAGAAGTACTACTGGTCCAATTTGACTCAAGCAGACAAGCACCTGTTATTCAAGAAGCTAGAGGTAATTTCCGAGTACTGCTAGTTTGGCCTGAAGTAGGCTAATCTTGACATGTTATTTTGTTGTTTTTTTTTCGTACTGTATTTCCTTTTATAGCTGATTCGAACTGTGTAGTCGTATATATTGCCCAATAGTTTGTGGTCTGGGAGTGGGACAAAGCAGCAAAGCTTGTTGTTGCTTCAAATATATAGCTTGGAGCTATACAATTATTTGACATCTACTTAATTGGCATGGCTCCCCTGTTTTCTTGTTTGCTGTTTCGGAGTAGTCATCTACTTTTTATTATATTATTGACTGACCGTGGTTTGTATATCATTTACGTTGATGATTAGATGCAAAGTTGTAGTTTCTTTTTCATTAACTTGGGAAAATTCTCTATCTGTTGGTAAATGAACTATATCATTTTTTCATGTAGGATGAATTTGACATTTACATAGCAGGTGCAGATGCAAGGAAGATTATGGAGAAGAGAATGAAGAAGCATTTCATCAATTACAAGTATACGATGCACGCTCAATGCCTGAAAGACCCTCAAACAGCTAGGACAGACACTCCTGTTGACATGAATATAGAGGACTAACATATGCTGTGTGATCACTTAGGGAGTGAAAGGTTTCGAGTAAGTAACTCTGTTTCTTTCATCATCATTTTCATGTATTACCTTGCCTTACAATCAATGGTTGCTTATGACTTGTGTTTGTCATATGCAGAAGTGAAGTGAAATAAACAAAGTGAACAAGAGTAAGCAAATGTATGCACACACTTCTGGTGCAAATCTCTTGTTCAAAGAATATTTGAGTTGGTAAGTTTTCTCGAATTCAATGATGAATTTACACATCCATACTGTTCGTTTATTAGTTTAAATCTGCCTCATTGTGACACCTTCTTTGCTTCATGTAGGAGAAGAAAAAGAAGCAGAAGCAGCAGCAAACAAGAGCAGCCTACTCAAGAAGAGCGGCCAACTGACATGGAGGACGATGATACCGTAGAGGAGCCAGTAGATCTGCTACTGTATTCGAAGAGGTATCAGAGGGCTGATGGTAGTTGGGTATCAGAGGAACCGCAGAAAAAATATGTGAGTTCATCAGAATGAATTGCCTTGTTTCCTTATGATTAGTTCATACCAAACCATGTGACCTATACCATTACCCTTTGTTGTTCAATGCCTAGTTGGAGATGCAGTCCATTTGGATAGAAGTAAAGGCAGAGGTGAAGCCTGTATCAGGCTGTGAGATTGTTGAGAAGGTCCTCGAGAAAAAGGTGAAGTATGGACCGAAGGAGAACCCAAGATCAGCAAAGGAGCTTCAACTCCAAGCAGAATTGGAGACAACAAGAGCTGAAGCGGAAAGAAATGCCAAAGAGTTTGAGGAGAAGATACAAAGTCAGGAGGAGCAGCTAAAAAGCTAGGTTGAGAAGATACAACTTCAAGAAGAAAAGTTACAGAGCCAGGAGGAGAGGTTTGATACTCAAGCAAAGGAGATGAACCAGATGAAAGCCGCCTAGGATAAGCTACAACATCAAGTGCTAGTTATTGCTCGCCGACTACCCCGAAAATGATCCGCGAAGTCCAAGGTAACAACACTGCCTCAGTTTGAAGAGCCAGATGAGACTGGAGGCTGTTTGTTGGTGTTAGAAGTATGTTATTTTCTGGTTTGGTGAACAACGTTGCAATGATTTGTGTTGTGGTGAACAATGAGTTTGATGTTTTGTGTGTCATGCTGGAGCACATAGCCTGACCTGTAATGTTGAACAATTAGTTAGAATACTTTGGAAATGGATGAAATGTTTTGGATAGTTTCTAATGTTTCTACTATCAGGTGGCAATGCAGGAAACAATTTCGGATTTTGCAATTTTCGAAACATGTCAAAGGTGACAACAACGTCATGTTGTCTCATAATATTCAGTTATGACAAAACGTAGTCATCACAATATGCACTTATGACAAACTATATTGGTCACACAATGTAGTTATGACAACATATATTCATCCTACTATGAAGTGACGACAACATATATTCGTCCTACCGTGCAGTTATGACAAAATATATTTGTCGCACCTTGTATTTAAATCACTATCGTCACAATTAAGTGACGTCAAGACCGTGAACTCCCTTTGTTAGCCATGAACTGACTCTTTTTCACCTATTCTCCCGGTTTTCGATCCATTTTGCCAATCTTTCGACTGCGAGGCTGGTTTCACTTGTTAAATCCTGAAACACACTCGAACACGAAGAACCTAGCGTAAAACAAACCTTTAAGGAGTGAATTTGGCACAAACACCTAAGTAAAACGGGGGCAAAACATGTGCAATTAGGCCCGAATCACTCCCCCACACTTAGAAGTTTGCTTGTCCCTAAGCAAACCATTTCACGCACATGGTAATATTTCAACCTACACAAATACTTTGGGGACAACTCAAAGGGCACGAAACGGGAATTCTCGATGTTTATTGACAATCAACACATGAACCGTTGCAACCAATACCGACATCCACCACAAACGACATTCAAAGCCACCAAAACGGGCAAATGAAAAGTTCTCAACTTATTCATGGATAAATGCAAGTCTTAACAAAACGACTTATCGACCACAACCAACCATGCATGGAATTCAAGTCTGAGGAACAAATGGAAAGGCAACAAAGGTCCTTTCCGGGGTATGAAATGGTAAGTAAAACAAGAATGGATCACTCACTCTCAAGACCAGTGGGGTTGGGACCTTTTTGGTGCAAAAGATGTGCACAATCAGAACCTCTCGGTCCTATTGTCTCAACACCACGGTGGTAACCTCTAAACGCTAGAGTTCGCAGGATGGTTGTCACCCCTAGCTCATCCGAAGGTCTTAAACACGAGTTTAGATGACTGGCGATTGGCTTGGACATGGGGTAAAGGCTTTTTGGGTGGTGGCAATCATGACATGAGGTTCTACATCTTCAACCTAAACCCGAAGGGTCTATGGTTTCGACTAAAACCCTTATCTTTAATCAAAGGCCACTAGAATCGGCCAAAAACCTTATCTCTCCCTTCCAACTGTCACCCATCATGAACTACCTTGAAGGTCTCTTCCTCGGCAATGGTAATGAAGGAGTTCTAAACAATGTGGGGGTTACGATGGCTTGGTTTCCAAGAAATCCCTCTTAGAGCATGTACTTTGGTTTTTCGTCGCACTCCCCATTTTCTTTTCTTTCTTTTTTGTTTCTTTCTTTTTTAGTGGGGTACTACAGAGTAAAACAATTGCCACCTAAACAGTTAACGACCAATGCTCTCTTTTTGAGGAACTCACTCCAACACTACACTTCATTTCGCATTCCTACCAAGAACCGCACACAAACCTCCTACGTAGAACCTCTATGGAGACTCAAAGGTGAGAGCTCCGGAATACACGGACGACTCATGTTTAGACACGAAGAAAGGATTGGGGGTTGTTCTACTAACACCTTTATGCTCACACGCACGAAGCTCCTAAATTGAGAACGACCCTCGAAGTCACAGGTCTCAAAGGGGTTGACTAAAGGATGATACATTTAGGGACAATCAACATTTGGGAGTGGACTCATCCTATGCCTCCATCATACTTTCTAGTGAAAACTTGTGATGCTACACACCGTGGTAAGAGGGAACTATCACACCGGAAGAAAATGATCGGCTCAAAGCTCACACGCTACCTAGTTACGCAACCATCTATTCCAATTCACCAACAGTGGCGGAGGGAGGTAAGGAGGAGAGGGGTCCTAGGACCCCACTTGGCAAATAATTGGACAACAAAACTCTTTAAATACATAGGTTTTAGTACGATAATTCAAGTTTAGGACCCCATACTCTCAATAATGTTAGCTCACCAAGGACCCCGGTTAACTCAAAATTCATTAGGTACACAAGCATTTATGTTAGTAAAATTTTAAGGACCCCAATGGACTCGATGTCTGTCTACGCCACTGTTCACCAACACGATGCATGGCAATTGTAAACAACAAGTGATCAAGTCAAGACATCCATTCATTTATGCACACCTGAGAACTAAACGTTTACCGTATCCTAATGATCTTCTCAGTCATCATCATAGGATATACTCGATCACATGCAACAATTCAAGATCAATGCCCAAAAACATGAGAATTTCCCACCATCCGGCCACTTTGATCAAGCAAACATTGCTTGGAGCCCTCAAATTAATGAAATTTGGGCATAGAAAAGGCTCCAAGCAACATCACACTCACACAAGCATACTAGTAAACTACCCCCTACACTTAAACTCGGCATTGCCCTCAATGGCGAAAGAAAGGGGTAGAATGATGTTACCGCTTAGGTTTGGCAATGAAGGTTGGAATCGAACCAGGGTAGGATAATTTGAGCTTCAAGGAGAGACAAAAAAGAACACACACAAACACAATACGAATCGCTCAAGGTGAGGTTATTACAAGCACAATACATAGTAGTAGTAGTAGTAGTAGGTCAAACTTGCTAACCTTCGTTGGGTTGCCTCCCAACAAACGCTTCTTTAAAGTCTTAAGCTAGACGGAGACTATGGGTCACGCAGCTTGTAGGAACACCACCTCCTTGTGTGGTATTACCTCTCCTCCAAGGTAACGCTTTAGGCGGTGTCCATTCACTTTGAAAGTTCTTCCTCCAGGTGGGAGATCTCAACCACCCCGTATGTGAATACTTGCGTTACCACATACGGCCCGACCAGTTCGACCTTAACTTTCCAGTGAATAACTTCAACTGGGAGTTGTACAAGAGAACCTGATCTCCCGGCTGGAAATCCTCTCCTCCTTTCAGGCGAGCATCATGCAAGCGCTTTGTCCTCTCCTTGTAAATCTTGGTGTTCTCATAGGCTTGGGGACACCACTCCTTAAGTTCTAGCACCTGCAACTTCCTTTCATTTCCACACAAACTAGGGTCCATATTCAAAAGCTTTGTAGCCTAGAAAGCCTTGTGCTATAGCTCTATGGGTAAGTGGCACACTTTTCCATACACCAAATGGTAAGGCGAGGCGCCTAATGGTGTTTTGTAGGCTGTGCGATATGCCCATAGAGAATCATAGAGCTTTGCGGACCAATCCTTGCGGGATTGATCCACGGTTTTTTCTAGGATCCATTTTAGCTCCCTATTTGATAGCTCGACTTGTCCACTAGTTTGGGGGAGATAGGCCATGGACACCCGGTGGGTGACACCATAGCGAGCGAGGAGCTTATCGAATTGCCCTTGAAAATGGGTTCATCGGTCGCTAACGATGGCCCTCGGGGTCCCAAATCGTGAAAACAACTTTTTCAAAAATCCACAGACTCGTCTTGCATCATTGGTGGGGAGGGCTTGAGCCTCAACCCACCTCGAGACGTAATCTACGACCACAAGGATGTATTAGTTACCAAAAGACGAGGGGAAAGGTCCCATAAAATCGATGCCCTAAACATCAAAGATCTCACAAGTGATAGAAATTGTTTGGGGCATCTCATTTTGATTAGAAGCATTACCTATCCTTTGGAATTTGTCGCAATGACTAACAAATTTGAAGGCATCCCGGAAAAGGCGCGGCCAGTAGAATCCCGACTGGAGCACCTTTCTTGCGGTTCGGTTGCCTTCGTGGTGACCCCTAGCTGTCCCCGTATGACAGTGGTTCAGAATACCCTCCATCTCCTCCTCCAGTACACACCTTCGAATGAATCCATCGGCCCCAATTCGAAAAAGGCGAGGATCATCCCAAAAGTAAGCACGGAGGTCGGAGAAGAACTTGTTTCTCTCATGTGTAGTCATCCCCTTGCGTAGCTGCCTTCCAACCAGATAATTGGCGAAGTTGGCAAACCACGGGGCGACACTCTCTGTAGTGGCAAGGAAGAGTAAATGTTCATCGGGGAAAGTGTCACTTATCTCTCTCGGAGGAGTGCTACTTCCCGGTCCTTCGAGCCGCGAGAGGTGGTCAGCTGCAAGGTTTTCGGCCCCCTTTTTGTTCTTTATCTCCACATCGAACTCTTGAAGAAGCAGGATCCATCGAATCCTTCGGGGCTTAGCATCCGCCTTGCTCATCAAGAAGCGGATGGCAGAGTGGTCTGTGTAGACAACAACCTTGGAAAGCACCAGATAAGACCTGAATTTATCGAAAGCAAAGATTACTGCTAACAACACTTTCGCCATGGTGGTGTAATTCTCCTGAGCATCATTCAGCGTCTTTGAGGCGTAGCAAATAGGTTGAAATTCTACCCCGCATTTGACCCAAAACTGCTCCCACTGCATAGTCACTAGCATCTCACATGATCTCGAAGGGGAGGTCCCAATCCGGTGAGACCATAATTGGGGGCATTTGTGAGCTTCTCTTTAAGGATGTGGAAAGCATCAAAACATTCCTTTGTGAAAAGAAATGGGGCGTCCTTTTCCAAAAGCTTGGGCAAGGGCAATGCAATCTTCGAGAA